GAAGAAAAAAGGCACTTACTTGGCCTTCCCAACCCATTTCCTTTTGGTTTCCTGAGCTACAGTTATGTGGGAGGACTGAGAGAGGGACACGTGGGACAGTTTGCTAACAGCAGCAGAGAGTCACAAACAAGCAAAAGCTTGGTACAAGGAGTGCCAGAGGTCCACCGGGAAAGGAGGAGTAACAGGGCACCTTTGAGGTTGGGCCAGCCTTTTTGCTCATTTGCAAGTATCAGGACAAAGACATGGTTAGGCGCTGATACCCATCACGGTTGTTGTGCCTTGGAGACAGAAGAGATTACTTTTTGGATTTTTTTTCTTTTTTTTTTTTGGAGACGGAGTCCTCACTCTGTCGCCCAGGACAGGAGTGCAGTGGCATGATCTCGGCTCACTGCAACCTCTGCCTCCCAGGTTCAAGCGATTCTCCTACCTCAGCCTCCCAAGTAGCTGGGATTATAGGAGCCTGCCACTGCGCCCGGCTAATTTTTGTATATTTAGTAGAGATGGGTTTTCACCATCTTGACCAGGCTGGTTTTGAACTCCTCACCTCATGATCCACCCGCCTCAGCCTTTCAAAGTGCTGGGATTACAGGCGTGAGCCACTGAGCCCCACCAGATTTTCTTTTTAAGATGGGGTATCACTCTGTCACCCAGTCTGGATCATGGCTTATGGCAGCCTCAAGCTCCTGGGCTCAAGTGATCCTCCCATTTCAGCCTCCTGAGTAGCTGGGACTGCAGGTACATGTCACCACACCTGGCTAATTTTTTTTTTTTCTTTTGTAGAGATGGGATCTCCCTATGTTACCCAAGCTGGTCTCAAACTGCTGGGCTCAAGCAGTATTCCTGCCTCAGTCTCCCAAAATGGTAGGATTACAGGCGTGTCTTACGTTTTAGAAATTTAAAATCACGTTTTCACTTTGAAGCCAACCATAAATGGATCCAATAAACCTTAGGAAAAATGTTTTGTAAAAAATAAACATCTGAGGCTGGGTGCAGTGGCTCACACCTATAATCCTATCACTTTGGAAGGCTCGCCAGGCAGATCACTTGAGGTCAGGAGTTTGAAACCAGCCTGGCCAACCTGGTGAAACCCCGTCTCTACTAAAAAAAAAATACAAAAAAATTAGCCAGGCCTGGTGGCAGGCACCTATAATCCCAGCTACTTGGAAGGCTGAGGCAAGAGAATCGCTTGAACCCTGGAGGCGGAGGTTGGAGTGAGTTGAGATCGTGCCACTGCACTCCAGCCTGAGCAATAGAGCGGGACTCTGTCTTAGATAAATAAATAAACAAATAAGCAAACAAACATCTGCACTATTTCATACAACTTTAGCATTTGAGTGCCTGGATTAGTTCTTCCTGATACAGCATTTATATCGAGGTGTCCCTTCTATGTCATCAGCTTTCCAAAATCAGTGTTTATGTCTCTCATCTTTGTGGTGGACTGTGGGATGGGACTAGCTCTCAAAGGGAGGAAATGAATAATCAAGGGAAATCACAATTTTTCCACAAATAGGTTATTTTCTTGTCTGTGACTGGTTTTCAGCATCATAGGAAGTACCAGGAGCCAGACTGTCAAAAACTTGGATTAAAATACATACATTTCTTGGCTGGGCACGGTGGCTCACGCTTGTAATCCCAGCACTTTGGGAGGCCGAGGAGGGCGGATCACCTGAGGTCAGGAGTTCGAGACCAGCCTGGCCAACATAGTGAAACCCTGTCTCTACAAAAATACAAAAATTATCTGGGCATAATGGCAGGTGCCTGTAATCCCAACTACTAGGGAGGCTGAGGCAGGGGAATCTCTTGAACCCTGGAGGTGGAGGTTGCAGTGAGCCGAGATCGTGCCATTGCACTCCAGCCTGGGTGACAGAGTGAGACTCCATCTCCAAAAAAAAAAAAAAAAAAAGTACATTTCTTGATCTCTAAAATCCTGAAAGATAAACAGGTCACAGTGACTTTTATCTTTATGAGTGAGGTACTTCCGCCGAATGTTGTATCAGTTCATGGAGTAATGAGGGGTTGTGTTACTCACATTAGATAAGGGCAGGGTGTGGTTGTTGGTCACCACCTCAAAATGATACTGCTGTGCTGGGACAAAAGATGCAGGTATGGCCAGCCTTCTTGCTTCCTTGTGATTCCCTTCAAGGTGAAATGATGTTTTTACCCACCATATGTTTGCTCTTGATGGAGGGGATTTTAGGTAAGGTTTGGCCACTGTCTTTGGATCTAGCCACACTAACATTGTCTAGTCCTCAGCTGGTTCCACCTGTCGTACTGGAGCCCTTTGTCCCATTATCAAGACCTCCGTGAAGCTACTGCCAAAGGAAGGAGGGAGTGGCTGGGCCTCCTCAGTCTCAGAGTCCCTCCAGTCCAGACTCAGCCACCTGGTCCCTCTCTGAGGTCAGCATGGCCAGAGTGGGAGGTGTAGAAGGCATCCCAGGGCCATCTTCTATCATCTTCATCTCCGAGGCAAGCTGCTTCTTGAGGGACTTGGCTTTCATATTTGGGGATCAGTGAGGCTGAGATGGAGAGATTCCATGGGATAGAGCAAAGCCTCCAGGTTTCAGCTCCTCAGGAGTGCACCAAAGAGAAGATATTGAAGGGCTGCTGTATTAGTCTGTACTCATGCTGCTTATAAAGACATTCAAGACTGGGTAATTTGTAAAGGAAAGAGGTTTAGTGGACTCACAGCTCCACATGGCTGGTGAGGCCTCACAATCATGGCAGAAGGGAAAGGAGAAACAAAGGCACATCTTACATGGTGGCAGGCAAGAGAGTTGTGCATGGGAACACCCATTTATAAAACCATTGGATTTTGTGAGACGTATTCACTACCTTGAGAATAGTATGGGGGAAGCCGCCCCCATGATTCAAATCTCTCCACCTGGCCCCACCCTTGACACTTGGGGATTATTACAATTCAAGGTGAGACTTGGGTAGGGACACAGCCAAACCATATCAGCTACTTTCTAGGCTGTGATCATAGCAGCACTTATTGAGCACATACTGGGTGTGAGCACCCAGAAGGTAGATGTCACCTTTGGAGGATCTATAGTTTTTTGAGGGAGGCAGCTGGAGAACTGGCAGGACAGTTGGCATTAAAGTCCCACAGCAGCACTTTCAGGGCTCAGAGAAGATTCATTAGAGGGTCAAGAAATGAGCATGGGCCTCATGGAAGAGATTATCAGTGTATTCTACCCAACAAGAGGGTCATTGTCCAGAAGATTCTAGTGTCTGGTTTTATTCTTGGCATAGTAACCAAAGCATCCAAAGGCAGCTGCAGAGGTTTCTCTGTACATCTCAGAATCCTTGAGCTAATTTGCCATCCATGTCCCTGCCTCTTGGAGGACAGGATGGTAACTGTCACAGGGTCCTCATAGCAATGTAAAGACATGTTTATTCAGTGAATGGATGAGTGAGAGAAAAGAGAGTGGGGAAACCAGCCGTTATTTCTAGAGCCTGGCAGTGGAGCAGCAGAGGTATCACCTGCCTTATGTACTGTCTGACCAGCCATTAGGAAATGTCTGTTTGTCTGTCATCTGTCTATTATTTATTTATTAAATTGTGGTAAAAGACACATGAAATGAAATAAAATGTACCATCCAGCCTTTTTTTTTTTTTTTTTTTTTTTTTTGAGATGGAGTCTCGTTCTGTCGCCCAGGCTGGAGTGCAGTGGCGCCATCCAGCCATTTTTAAAGTTTACAGTTCGGTGGCATTAAAGAGATTCAGTTGCTGTGCAGCCAGCACTGCCCTCATCTACAGGGTTTTTTTTCATCTTCCAAAACTGAAACCTGTACTAATTAAACAACCACTCCCTCCATTCCCCTCCACCTAGTTCCTGGCAACCACCATTCTCTTTCTATCTATGAATTTAATGACTCTAGATACCTTATATAAGCGGAATCATACAGTGTTTGTCTTTTTTGTGACTGGCTTATTGCATTTACCATAATGTCCCCAAGGTTCATGTTATGACGTATGTGAGCGTCTCCTTCCTTTTAAAGGCTGAATAATATTCTCTCGTTTTGTCTATCCATGCATCCGTTGAGGGACAGTTAGGTTGATTCTTCCTCTTGGCTATTGTGAATAATGTTTCTTTTTTTCTTCTCGTTGTTTTGTTCTTTTAGAAACATGTTCTCTCTCTGTCACCCAGGCCAGAGTGCAGTAGTGTGATTATAGCTCACTGTAACCTTGAACTCCTGGGCTTAAGCCATCCTCCTGCCTCAGGTTCCCAAGTAGCTGGGACTGCAGGTGTGTGCCACCATACCTGGTGATTAAAAAAAAATTTTTTTTTTTTGTAGAATCAGGGTCTTTCTAGGTAGCCCTGGCTGGTCTCGAACCCCTAGCCTCAAGCAATTCTCCTGCCTTGGCATCCCAAAATGCTGGGATTATAGGCGTGAGCCACTGCACCCAGATGTGAATAATGTTTCTATAAGCATGGGTGTACAAGTATCTCTTAAATCCCTGCTTTCTGTTCTTTTGGGTATATATCCAGAATCGGAACTGTTAGATTTTTATGGCATTCTATGTTTAATTTTTTTAGGAACCGCCATACTGTTTTTTACAATGGCTACATCCTTTTAAGGGGATGTCTCTTGAGCTGCCTCTGTGGCATTAGTCTGGGTAATGTCTTATATAGTTACTTAGCTTTTCCTTTTACTTGCCTTTCCTCTGTTAGTTTTGAAAATGCTATTCTCCTTCCTGTGACTCCACTTATGTTTGAATTGTATTGCTTAATATCTGGCCCTTTGGACAGGTTTGGGATAACAAAGGCTGTGGATAGACTCATCCACACTAGCACAGCAGGCCGGAATTCTGAAGCTGTTTCTCCTCTCCTCCAGTCCCTTTAGAAATATGAGTTTAGGCTGGGTGTGGTGGCTC